CCTGAAGTCATGACCCCACTGACTGATGCAGTGAGCCTCATCTATAACAAACCGTGAGATCTTACCACGAGAATAAAGAGACTGGAGGGTCTTTAGCAATTTAGTACTAGCAGCTAACTAATGGAAGAGAGAGAGAGGGAGATAGGGAGAGAGAGAGGGAGAGAGTGAGAGAGAGGGGGAGAGAGAGAGAGGGGGAGAGTGTGTGTGAAGGATTGTAACACATACAGTATAGCGGGAAATTTTGGAGGGACTTAAATTTGGCAAATTGCTAAATTTTGGTGATTGGCTAATTTAGTTTGACAGATTTGTGGCCACATGCCATTGAGCATGAACATAATGGCTCAAAACGACGAATTTTATTTGGTGAATGGCTATCAAAACGACGAATTTTCCAAATTTAACTCCCTACAAAATTTTCGACTATACAGTAATAAACTGGTTTCATAATTACTGGTTATAATGTACATGACTACATGTATTTACTTTCTCTGGTGTGACGTAGAGTAGTTTTATTCCAGGGTCAAGTCGAGACAGCTCAGTATAAACTCTCAGCTCCTCCGACTGTGAATACTCACCTGATAAATGACAAGCAGAAATCTACACAACAAGAAAAAGAATAATAATTAATAATAATAATAAACTTTAAATACATGTACCATACACATGTACATGTATAATAAAGACTACTAAATGTACTAATATCTATGCATATTGTATTTCTACATGTACATGTATAAAACATCAAAATAAAGTTAAACTAATTCCTTCTCTCCCTTTACTTCTAAGCTGTTCAGTTTCTGTACTTGATCCTGTATCAGTGACCTCAGTGGTGAGACTACAATAGTGACTCCATCCAGTAGCAGTGCTGGTAGCTGATAGCAGAGGCTCTTACCTCCTCCAGTAGGCATCAATATGAAGCAGTTCTTACCAAGTACAGCTGCATTGATCGCCTCAAGTTGATTCGGACGAAACTCCTGGAGACCAAACTTCTCCCGAAATACCTTCCTTAGGAGAGGAGCGTGATCATAAGAGCCACGAAACTCGGCGGAATTGTCCGGAACCGTCTCAAAACCTTTAGAGGGTTTTATGAGACTAGAACTCACTGTAGGTTGACGTTGGGCATTAAATGGAGTAGGAGGTGGTACATTAAAAGTAGATGTTGATGAGGCATTAATTGGAAAATTAGCCTGGGCTTTAAATGGAATAGTCTGGGCATTAAATGGAGGTTTAAATGAAGTGGAGGTACTCGGTGATTCAAAGTTGAGATGACGATTATAAGATGAAGGAGTAACTGATGTAGTGTTTGAAGTGGGCGGGTCAGGATATGGTGAATCAGTTAAATCAATACAAACCTCCTCCTCCTCCTCCTCTTGTATCATCTCAACAGGATCCTCTTCTGGTATCACGTCCATTGGAATATCATCAAACTCCTCCCAATCCTCCACTGGATCCACCTCTTGATGAGTGGGTGGGGGAACAAGTGACTCCGCCCCTGATGTGTGATATGTAGGCGTGGCTATTGACTGTGAGGTGTTAGTAATGGGCGGGGCTAGTAATTGATTGGTGGGTGGAACTGAATCAGCTGATTGTGGAGTAGTAACATTAAGATAAGATGATGGTGATGATAGCTTTTGGTTTAATTCCTTTTCTTGAGCTAATAGTTTCTTCCTAAGAAAAAAAATTATATATTTATACATGTACATAGTCTCTCTTAATGGACACTCTCTATAGCGTACACCTCCATTTAACGGACAGCACCTAGTGTACCAATTACTGCCTCCACATAAAGGACACCTTTTCTTGTCCTACAATGTCTTTCATATACAGGTAGAGGCTTCACTGACTACAGTACATGTACATGTACATGTATGTATGCTAATCAGTTACAGTGGACATACATGTACATGTACATGTAGTTACAGTTACATGTACCTCATTGCCAGTTTCTTCTTGAGGTAACAGGCTGAGAGTCCAAACAGTTCTGTCATTCTAGTTGATGGTATGTCACTCAATATATCACAGATCTCATCCATCACCTTCAGCCTCTTCAACTGTAACTCACTCAGAGACGAGGACACCTGATATTATAATAAATATTAAATCATTATGAATTATGACGTTTAATAATAATTAAACCTATAAACTATAGAGAGGATTATCAGCTAAAGTAACTGCTTTTAAATATCAATTTTGTAGCCACACATACATGCATACAAAATGAAGCAAAATTGACATTAAGGCATTGCCAATATTTCCCTAGATGCTACTAACAACCAGTTAATTACCTGTAAAGGTGGGTGTGGTGAAGGAGGTGTGGTCTGATGGAATGATGGAGGAGGAGGGGGAGACTGTGGTGCTGGTGATAAATATGAAAACGATCCTAAAATTCACATTATTTATAAATCATTTTCTATTAAAATAATGCAGTACTTGCTAGTGGTTTAGGAGTCGATGATTGAAGAGGAGGGGCAGTATTCTGTACTGCATTATGAGCACCTGTACCTATTAATAGTAACAATTAATTCACAATCTATTAATAGTAACATAATCTATTAAAAGTGACATAATCTATTAAAAGTGACATAATCTATTAATAGTGACATAATCTATTAATAGTAACATAATCTATTAATAGTAAGATGAGAATGTCACAATCTATTAATAGTAACATATTACATGATGTAAATCACACCCATAAAATATCTATTAATAGTAACATTATAATAGTAACATTATTAATAGTAACCCACTTGATGAAGTTGTATTAAAGTTGATGGGAGGGACTGTGGCTTGACGAGAGAGAACAGTTGATGATTTAGGAGGAGGAGAAGTGAGAGCAGTAGAAGAGAGAGGAGTAATGGCCGCCACTGGTTTAGAAGGAGGAGGCTTCATTGAGGTTGATGCTGACTAGAAT